AGCGCCGTGACCCCTGCCGCAGCGTCACCCTGACAGCTCCCACCGGTGAAGATGGAGACAGGCACTTTACAGAGCATCCACAAGGAAACTGGAAGCGGGGAACGAGTGCCAAAACCTCTAATACTTGCCTTACCTGTTGACTCTGCGTGGACATTTGTCGGGTTTGATATCCACTTCATAGTGATACACATCAATCTTGGGAATGTCCACTTCAAAGTAGTTGGCCAAGAGCTTGATGGGCTTCCCAACGGTTCCTATCCCGGGCCGGCGCGGCGCTTGAAATACCTGCTGCAATGGTGGCAGGTATGCGCCTGCAGCTGCAGGGGGAGGAAACGGGTCAGGAGGGCGGGGAGAAACCCTGCGTCCCGGCAGACGGACAGACAGACAACGCAGTCACAGCGCTCCCCATCACCGCATCCCAAACGGGGAGGTCTCGCGCTCACGCTCCTGGCGGTGGCGGCAGCAGAATTGGGACCAGCTCAGCGGGAGGTGGAAGGGGCTTCCCCGGGCACCGTCCGGCAAGCGCCGGCACCAGCCAAGCCGCCCAAGGGCAGCACCAAGCCGCCGCTGTGCAGACGCCGAACCGCCCACCGGCAGACAAATAACCTCCACCTCGCCTCAGGGAAGGGAACTCATCCGGGGCCACGCGTGGCAGCAGCACCGACCTTCGGAGGACAAGGGACTCCCACCGCCCGTCCCGACCACGGGCACACCCGCGTCCTGGCGTACGCCGCGATACCCGTAACTCCATTCCCCGACCAGATGCAGGGCCAGAAGGCCACGTTCGCTTTTCCTGACGCCGAAGGACAGGCTGTACCTAACGTCCAGGTTAGAAGAGCTTTGAAAGCGGCCGGTACGCCGCCTCTGAGCTGTGCTGCAACTTCTGTTTCGCACAAGAAATGTCGCAATATGCAAACAACCAGAACAGCGGCAAGAAACTCTTCAGCCCTGGCTTTAAAGAGCAAGTAGAGCCTCGTGTCTGCACCGAGAGCTTGCAACGGGTCTGCAGCAGCAGCGACCTGAAGGGTCTGGGGAACGCTGGCAGACTGAGTTAGTGAAGAATACTTAGACCAAGGTCAGCCATCCCGGGGCTGTCGTGTTTTTATTGCCCACCCCTTCTTCCCTGGCTCCTGCGGGAGGAATCCCTCTCTGCAGCATCTCTCCAGGCTCCCCCAGCATCCCACCCCACCAAATGACGTTTGCCAACCAACAAGCCCGGGGAGGGCCAAGCTTCGCCGGCCCCGCTGCACAGCGACATCAAAGCCGACCCACGCTGGGCTGCGGGGCGCAGAGCGCTTTGTTGTAAGGGCAGCTCCAAAAATAGCCCAGGTCTGACGGCTCCCCGACGCCGAGCAGGAGGCGGCTCCGGGCTCGCTGGGTCATGGGGTGAGGAGAATGGGGACGCTGCTGCGAACCCCACGGAAGAAAGCGCCCATCCAACGCTGCCGAGGGGCTTCGCCACGAACAGAGCGGTCTCGCCCAGTTCCCTCTGCCAGCTGGGGCTCGTGGATGCGCTCGACCCCCGCATTTGCCTCCCAAATACGTTGCTCTTCAGCTCGTCGAGCGCCCGGGGTCAGTTTTATCGGGGAAGGGGTTGGCAGGCACCCTCTGCCCCCGCACCAGGCCTGGGGTGGTGCTGCCGTGGGGGCTCAGCCAGGATGCCCCATTGTCACACAGATACAAATTTTGCTGCTCTGTTTAGAGAAAGAAACACGAGGAGATAACATTTTAAGTGGAAAATACTCAATGTGTTCAAAAGGGAATAAGATTGATTTTATTAGGTAGTGCAATAATATACAATTTTAATATCTCTGTGACGGGAGCGCAGCACCGGCTCCACCGGCACGGTGCTGCAGGTCCGCCCCGCTCCGAGGGGACGCAACCCCCCGGCGACTCCGCCAGCGGGGACCTGCGGGCACGCACGCTTTCCCCTCCATCCTCCAGCAAATTCCGCCTCGCTGCCGGAGGGAGGATGCCGCAAGGAACAGGAAACACGTTATCGCATCTGCACTACGCGATTATTTAACTGCTACATTTTGCAGGATAACAGCTCGCTTTGGTTTGATACCGGTTATTAACGATCGCTTTTCGAACTCCAGGTCGCAGGATAACCCAAGTCTCCGTACCTGAACTTTCCTTTTATCCTCAGTCCCTCCCCAACGTAATTCTCAACTGCTGCTCAGCAAAAAAAAAAAAAAAAGAAGTTCCATCGATGAGGAAAGCTAACTCCAGGGAAGGTGCTGATAAGAAGCAGAGAAAATGAAAAAGTTTGATGAAATCTCCTAGGAATTATGGGAGACAGCGAAAAAAATCAATCCCAAATCCCCACTTCAAGCAGCGTGGGCCCCAAACCCACGGAGAGGGAAGCACCAGTTTGCCCACAGAGCCCATTACACAGCGTTACTCATGAAGTCCTGGAGGGGTGGGTGCCGACGCACGGCCACGGGACCGAACTGCGTTTCTAAACTGACAGCGCCCTTGGGCTCAAAGGTATCTCAAAATATTGCCAGAGCAGCATTCGGCACCGCTGCCCTCCGAGGCGAGATCTGCCCTCCCTACCCCTTTCCCACTCGGCACCTTCTGCTTCCCAAACCCCAGGAGGCCTCAGCCAGCCGGGCCGGGCGCGGGGACCGCAGCGTGCGGATGCTCGGAGCGCTCCATCTGGGTGGCCAACTGTCCAAGTCAGCCCCCAAACTGCGTCCCGGCTCCAATTTCGGCTCCTGAACACATGGTGCTCTTAGCACCCCTTGCTCCCATCCCCTTTCCAGGCTAAAAATATCAGAAACGGAAAACCAGCAGAGCAGCAAACTCCGCATTCGCTGTTCAGTTCTGCACCCGATCTCTGCAAGGCTTTTCTTGCCGATGGAAGGCCACCATGCCGCGGGACACCAAGGGGACGGGACGACCCTTGCGGGCGTCCAGGGACCAAACTGCGGCATTGACTTCTGCAAAGCCGACCTCTGCTCTTGCTTCTGCCCAGCGGCGAGAGCCTGGGAGCTCCAAAATCTGCCGGGAGCCCCATGCCCAGGGCTGAGCCAGCCCCAGCACCTCCTCGGACACGGCAGCACGGGACTCGGAGCAGTCTGAGGAGTAAGACGGGGATCTCCGAGGCCGACGTGGGGCTCGGACCCCCGCAGGTGCTCGCAGCCTCTCTGGGGCAGGGCGGCCACCAGCACCCCCGAGACAAACGGCTGCGCCGCGCTCCAGGGGCAGCTCGTTTTAAGAAACCGATTTTCAGATGAGCTACTCGCCGGGTAATTCATGTCTCCACATGACGAACATTTCTTGGCAATCGCCAGCTCCCTGGCTGCAAGCTGATGCATTTTTAAATCATGGTTCGCAACCAAAGAGGTATTTGCCAGCGCTGCTGGAGCCTCCGGTCCCCGCTCTGCCTTTCGAGCGAGAAACCGCGCTGCCCACTTGCAAGACCGGCCAGGGGACAGCAGCTCCCCGCAACCACACCAAGGCCAGCACCCGCAGCTTCTGCGCTGCTGGATCTTCTCACCCCTGAGAGGGTCCCGGCAGCCACGTGCCAGCAGGGCAGCATCTCCACGTGCCCAGGGCGTCCCTGCGGACGCAGGGCAGCAGCCGCAGCTCGGGGCCGGAGAGGAGCTGAAGCAGGTTTGGGGCCGGCAGGAGCCGCGCCGTAGAGGGGCGACCAAATGGTCCCAACACCCACCCCGCAACCCCGGCGCCGCACCGGTCAGCCCGAAAATAATGCTGTGCCGTACAAACCTTCTCGCTGGAGGAGCGCCGGATGCTTTTATGAACGTGAACCCTGGCAATTAGGATTGTGAATCAGCGATGAAGGATTCAGCCTCCAGCAACGGGAAAGTTGGCTCGAGAGTTTGACGCGAGCCACGAGATATCGCAAGCGCGAGCCAACGTAGCCGGGCAGCCTGGCTGGAGGGGGCAGCGCCGCGACGGCAATGAGATGCTCTGCAAAGACCAGGGCAGGACACAAGACCAGTGCCAAGGATGGGAAACTTCACCCCTGGGCTGACTCAGAGGGGGTTTTTTTTGGCAAACACAGACGCCACGATCGGTCCTTGAACGCGAAGAGCCGGCGCAGCCGCCCCAGTAGCCCAGGCCCAGACTCGCCGCAGGGGTCGCGCCGCCCGCCCGGAGCGAAGGAGGGAGCGATAACGACTTCTCCTTTCTAAATTACTTTGAGATCCAAAGATATTTTTTTTTTTTTTTAAAAGCCATTCTCTCCCAGTGCCCGGCACGGTGCTGCCTGCCCGGGATGTGGCCATTTACAAGAGCAATGACATCCAGCCCCTCCGGCGTGCGAGACGGGGTCCCGCCTGGCGTTGGCTGCTTCAGCCCAGATAGGAGAGACCCCATCGCCCTTTGGGGGCCACGCAGGCGGGGCTCCCCCCTCCCGTGCCACGTCCCTGCCCCAGGGTGCTCAGAGCCCCCCCACGATTTGCCTCGGGGCAAATCCTCCCGAAAGCCACCCTCCGCCTGGCTCGGAGGACGCTGTGCCAGGGAAGCCCAGGCCGCCCGTGCCCACAGCCCCTGGCTGCAGCAGAAAAGGGGCCAGCGGTGAAACGCGCCGGTTCCTCTTCGGTAGAAGGAGCCTCGTTAAAAAGCACCCCAAACCGCCCGAAGACAGGGGGGCTTCTGCATACCTCGACTCTCCATGGTGAAGCTGCACAGGCTCCCACTTTGTCATGTAAATGCGGGCGCCCGGGGCCGGGGGCTGCAGGGCGAGTGTTGTTCCTGCAGCACAATGCGGCCAGTGAGCGGGATGAAATCCGCCTGCCATTATAAATTCAGCGCCCAGGAGGAATCACAGACTTTCGCACACAAAAGCCGTGCCCTAGGGACGCGCCGGCGGCGGGAGCATCGCCGCCACCGCCGCCCCTT